ACTCTCCTATGAACGCCATGCAATGCAAGAATGGCTTATTGAAGAGTGGCAATGTGTTATAAAAGGCATTGAAAATGAACAAGATATCAATATCATTTATCAACTGGATTTAAGAGCCAGCTTTCTGGCACGTGTATGCCTTATCTGGCAGGATAAAGTTCGTTTGGTCATTCCACACAAGTCTATGGATTCATCTTGGGGACCAACATTAGATGACCTGGCACATGTCAGAAAGATAGAAATGATGGAAATGGTGGCAGACCAGGACAGTAACACAGAAACTGTCATTGCAGTAAATGATGATGATGATGATGAGGATGATGAGGATGATGAGGATGAGGAGGAAGAAGATGGTGAGGAGCTGGAATTGTTGGAGGCAGTTGAACTATTGGCACTGTCAGATGAGTTTCGTAGTGGCTACAATAGTTGAGACAGAACATTTTTCCAATTAAATAAATACAGTGAATATATTTCAATGAGTGTATTGAATAGTTTCAGTTGAATATATTTGGTTGAATATATCTAGTGGTAAGTCAGCAAGTAATGGATATAGATATTGATGAGTATGGCATTGATGGTGTCTGTGATCTGGTTGTTGCAGCTATAATACAATCTACTCAAGTCAACAAAGAACATATGCTTCAATGGCATCTGTGGTCTGGGCTGTGGCAGCTCTTATAAAATCTCAAATGAACATGGGATCAATGGCATCTGTGATCTGATTGATGTAGCTGTTATACAATTTATACAAGTACAAAAAGAGCATAGGCTTCAATAGCATCTGGGGTCTGGTGGTTGCAGCTCTCATTCAATTTCAAATGAGTATGGCATTAATGGCATTTGTGATCTGGTTGTTGCAGCTATTATACCATCTCAAATGAGCATAGATATCAGAGGCATTGATGTGGTTGTTGCAGCTCTTATACAATCTGTTCAGGAAACAGTGGAGGTGCTTGCCTAAGATACACTAAGAAAGTTACTTTCATCTAATAACTTCTTTTTGGAAGAGTAAGACCCCTGCCAGCTCTCAGATAAAATCTATTCAGAGACAAAAACTCTATAAAGCAAAAAAGAATTCATTGAGTAGTGTGACATAAAAGTTTGTGACACTCTATGCTCTTGGCTCCAAAAAGATTTATTCAGCCTCAAAAATTATATCCAGTAGTGAAAACATGGAATATATTTAATTTAGAGTCTTGGCACTTGAAAGATTTATTTAGTGCAAAAAAATAGATTCAGTTGTGTGACAGGTAATTGTGTGACACTTCAGATTTAGAAATACAAAATAGATACAGTAGATTTATTCAGTACAGTAAATAAATACAGTACTACTATTAGTCATGTAATATATACTGAAATTACATGACTAATAGTCAGTAGTCAGTGGGTGACTGAAGTGGGATGGGTGGCAACTTCATACAGGTAGGGAAAGCATTCATCGCGGTGTTTGACGTAGACGAGAGGTCCGCCATCAACCACGAAACATTTGTCCTCTGGTCCATCAGGTTGCATGGTCCGGATCTTATCTGCAGGATACGTTGTAGGCATTACTACGACGTGGAAGTCGATATAAGTGCATCATAACATGTAATAAGGATACGCATACCTAATAACTTGACATGGATGGAAGAGATGCATATGAAACGAGTTTGGCGTTAGAGGGAGAGAAGGAAATAATGGGGGGGGGGGGAGTGTTTATCTTGAATAAGGCCCTTGCACAGTTGATGGTAACTGAATCCGCGTGCTCGGATCTTGGTGCTTAGCATGCGTGCAACGAAGAGGAACTGGTGGGTTTAGAGAACCCAGTGAATTACTCCATGAGATGAACATGGTCGAAGTGTTTGGACTGGCCAAGACGACAACGGGCGCATGGATATGGCGTGGTGAAGCTGGTGTATTGCGCTATGAGACGATTGTGGTAGACATGTGGCACTCAAATCGTTTGGATTGGCCAAGACGACGATGAGCGTGCAAAGGAGACAGATAGTATGCGGTAGATATATTGCACAAAACGTTTGGACTGGCCAAGACGAAGAGCACTCAGCAAAAGACCAGAGCGCGCAACAAAGAGAGGGTGCCGTGGGAACTTGAACTTGAAGAGCAAGAATTGATGACGCACAAACATTTCCCGATCGTTTGATGGGGGGAAGTTTCGTGTGTCATCAGAATCTACGATGAATACTACCGAAGTTGCACAGCCTCGGTACAAATTCTCAAGATTCTATGACACACGAACATTTCCCGATCATTTGATGGGGGGAAGTTTTGTGCGTCATCAATATCTAGATTTCGACGCCCACAATATGTCCAGACCATTGGATCTAGCCTAAAATCGCCACAGATGGGCAGGGGATCTCAAAAAAGCTGACAAGGCCCAAGAGGACAATTCAGAAATTGAGGCAACAGCATCGGAATAACACGCAGGCATCTTGTATACAACTTGGTATCTAGTAGCACATAATCTAGCCTAATAACTGTCATCAGAGTTTCGGCCTCACTTCTCTCGCATACACTTCGTTGTGGTATTTGCCGTTCAGTGCAGCCTGTGCATAGCGAATAAAGGGACTTGATTTAGCATCCTGATAGAGATAGTAAGCAAGAAACAAGTAGATAAATTTCAGGAGAACTACTTCGTATATCTGTAGTAGGGCTGCAAAAGATCACGGAAACACGAAACGAGTTTGAACAAGCTCGTTTCCTGAATCTTGTGGCAGGTTGAAGCAGGGAATCGATGGAAACTGGGGTAGGAGGGGTGTATGTCTGAGAACGTGGGTGCCGTTGTGTTCTCGCGTATCCGTGGGGCTAGAAGACATTACATGACCACGAAATGAGTTCAAACGAACTCGTTTCGTGCAACTGGGGGTCAGTCGATGCGGGGAATAGAAGGGAATCAGGGTAGGAGGGGTGTATGACCCAGAGCCATGGCGCCATTGGGTTTTTGCGTATCCATGGGGCTAGAAGACATTATGCAAACACGAAACGAGTTCAAATGAACTCGTTTTGTGAAACTGGAGGTCGGTCGATGCAGGGAATAGAAGGGAATTGGGGTAGGAGGGGTGTATGGCCCAGAGCCTTGGCGCCGTTGTGTTTTTGCGTATCCATGGGGCTAGAAGACATTACGCAAACACGAAATGAGTTCAAACGAGCTCGTTTCGTGCAACTGGAGGTCGGTCGATGCGGGGAATAGAAGGGAATCGGGGTAGGAGGGGTGTATGGCCCAGAGCCTTGGCGCCATTGGGTTTTTGCGTATCCGTGGGGCTAGAAGACATTATGCAAACACAAAACGAGTTCAAATGAACTCGTTTTGTGAAACTGGAGGTCGGTCGATGTGGGGAATAGAAGGGAATCGGGGTAGGAGGGGTGTATGACCCAGAGCCTTGGCGCCGTTGGTTTTTTGCATATCCGTGGGACTAGAAGACATTATGAACACAAAAGAAGTTCAAACGAACTCGTTTCGTGCAACTGGAGGTCAGTCAATGCGGGGAATAGAAGGGAATTGGGGTAGGAGGGTGTATGGGGGTATGCCTGATAACAATGAGACCAATGCACTGTGCTGAAGAAAGGCTGCTCACCAAGAGAGACAGATGGGACCCACAGTGCTTGAAGTGTTTGGACTGGCCAAGATGACAACAAGCACCCAAAGATGGCGTAGTTACGCCGGTGTCTTGCTCTGTGAGACAAATGTATTAGATACGTTGCGCTCGAAGCGTTTGGACTGGCCAAGACGACGACGAGCGCACAGAAGAGAAGGGAGACATCAGGAGTTATCAGCGAGATGAATGGATTAGATAACTTGCACTCGAAGTGTTTGGGCTGGCCAAGACGACGACAAGCGCATGGAAGAGAAGGTCAGAAGTTCAACTTGCACAGCCTTGGCAAGATTGATGGCTACGATGGATCGATGACACACGAAACTTCCCCCCATCAAACGATCGGGAAACGTTCGTGCATCATAGAATCTTGCTCTTCTCGCCAAGGCTGTGCGAAGTTTAACTTGAACTTCCCACGTCTCCCTCCTCTCTTCTGTGCGCTCGTTGACGTCTTGGCCAGTCCAAACGCTTCAAGTGCAACAACCCACCAAGCTTTGTTGCATGCTCTTTGACGTCTTGGCCAGCCCAAACATCTGAGTGCATCGTATCTATGACATTCGTCTTGCAGATCAAGATGACATATCTGCACGCTCGCTGTCATCTTGGCCAGTCCAAACACTTCGCGCACAACGGTCTTGCCACACCTCTTGCAGGCTTACCTTTCGTCATGGTGATGCCAGGTATGTTGACAGCGCCCACTCACTTCTCAACCATCCTCCTAACCGCCTTTCTCTTTGAAGCCCGCCAGTTCATCTGATTTCTTATACACTAAACAAGTTCGTTTGAACTCGTTTAGTGTCTCCTCAACTTTCTTAGATGCGCAGAAGCGCAGATAGTCGTGAAACCAACCTTCTTGCCTGCCCCCTCCTCCTGCTAACCGTTTCCGCGTTTTCGAAGGTTCGTCCACCTTCCTTCCTTTCTTTAAACAAGTCTTAACTACTTCGTTTGTTGCATATATAGCTCTTCTAGCCCACATGTTCTGCACAACGTCTATGCCGCCCCGTCGCATTTTAACCATACTCCCACCCCACTTTCTGTTTCATTCCTATGCGTCAATCTACCTTCCTGGCTACCAAACGAGTTCGTTTGAACTCATTTGGTGTCTCCATGACTTTCTTGGTTGCGGGATTCACAATTTTTCAACAATATTGCACACACCCTCTTCCTGCTAACCGTTCTTGCGATTGTAAAGGTTAGCCCACCTTCCTTGGCCATTAAACATATCCTAACTAACTTGTTTGTCATTTCTGTAACTTTTGTAGCCTATTGGATACTCGGTTCTTCTGCTCCGCCCAGTCGCTCTCAAACCAATGCCACCACCCACCTTTTTTTCATCAAATCGATGCCATTATCTACCCTCCAACAAACCAAATGAGTTCGTTTGAGCTCGTTTAGCGTCCCTTGTGCTTTCCCGGCGTCGTGGACACATGGATAGTCGTTGTTGTGCAAAGTCTTGCCCATGTTCACCTCCTATTGGCCCTTCCTGCAATTAGCTCACCTTCCTGTCTTTGAACTCGATGTTTCTAAAGCTTTTGTAGCCTACTGGATACTCGGAACTTCTATGCCGCCCATTTGCGCTTAAACCATAACAGCACCTGCCTTTTTGCGTCAAACATCTGCATTTATGTACCTTCCAACAAACTAAACAAATTCGTTTGAATCTGTTTAGTGTCCGTCAATCTTTTCCGGCATCACGGACATGGATAGTCTTCGTTGCGCTTAAACCATAACACCACCTGCCTTTTTGCATCAAACATCTGCATTTATGTACCTTCCAACAAACTAAACGAATTCGTTTGAATCTGTTTAGTGTCTGTCAATCTTTTCCGGCATCGCGGACATGGATAGTCTTCGTTGTGCAAAGTTGTACTCATGTTTACCTCCTACTGGCCCTTCCCTCCATTTTACAGGTTAGCCTGACTTAACTGTCATTTAACGAGTACTAACTAACTTTCTTATTGTTTCTATATAGCTCTTGTAACATAAGGAATGCTCGGAACCTCTACGCCACCCAGTCGCGCGCAGACTATCCCACCACCTGCCTTTTTCGTCAAGTATGCCTGTATCTACCTTCCAACAAACTAAACAAGTTCTATTGAACTCGTTTAGTGTCCCTCAAGCTCACCCAGCTTCGTGGACGAGATAGACATCGTTGTTCAAAATATATTACCCACATCCACCTCCTACTGGCCGTTCCTACCATTTTACAAGATAGATGGTTACGACGGTGTACTAGCAACTGTGTCTGATGAAAAATATACAGGATTTTTGAGCATTGCTCTAATAACATGGCTGAAATCAACTTATATGACTAAAGTAGCGAGAGGCATAGTATAGTGTTTGCCATTATTGTCTTTAGAGGGTCATGCAATGAAAGTTCTTATCTTTCCACTTGACTACTATCCAGCTTAAACGTGCTTGCAGCATCTGTATACTCGCTCAGTCAAACATACGAACATTTTCACATTTCACACAACTTCTATCATCTTGGCCAGTCCAAACGTGCTTGTTGTGTTGTCTGGTGGATCATATCTTTGCTCAATCAATCAGGTGTCTCATTCGAACTGTACGCACAAGGCACATCGTCTTGGCCAGTCCAAATGTGTCGCTCAATTTGTGCATAGTTCCTGCCACCGTTATATCCGTCTTTCCATCGCCTAAATGTGTCAGGCCTCAGTTCATCTTCAATCGATCAGATAATGGATCGCTTCACCTAGTATGTCAGGATTTTGATTGATAAGAAGACTTGGACTCACGGATATTAGCGAACATTCCCGTTTTCCGACTGCACGTACATTGGGCTGCCGCAGTGTATTCCAACAGTATTATCATACCTGGAGTAGCATTTTAGTTAAAGATGAACACATGTATGTTCTATCCTATGCTCAACACTAATGGCCTTTCAATTGATCACTGTTACTATAGCCTGATTGATCATTCACAAGGGCGCTTGCAGTCTGTCAATGGTATAATGTTCTATTCACCGAACTGTTCAGATACTGTTAGCGCTCCATGTCCCAGTCCTGATCACGAGTCGAACAGCCTTGTCATCGATTACCACAACGATCTGTCCTCCTTGGTCAATGATCCTCAGTGGTGGACAGCAAATTTTGGTTGGCTGTCCTTTACACCTAAAAGGCCTTTCTTTGGTGGTGGTCTACTGGGGCGACTGGCAGACATACGTATTGAGGAAATCGAGGGAAAGTATTCAATGCCTGAAGACTTGATAAATAGCTGGACAAAGCTTGAATACATAATTCGCAGTGTCATTGTGATATTGGGGGGCGTGTACAAAATCTTCTATCGGTCCTGCCTATCCTGCAGCCAGAGGATATCAGAGGCAACATGCTTATTGATCAGTAGCACATCGGGAAGCCCGAGCTTCTCGTGATATATTTGTGCTGTGGATTGGCCTATTATTGTTCTTAATAGCAGGAGCAGATAGCTTATCGCAAAAGGGCTATGAA